GATGTCAATAGAAAATACAAATCAGCGCCTAGATGTGTGTGATGTGTCTTAATTGCACCCAACGCTGGCGCGGTGGCGATTTCTCGTAGTGCTCCTCAAAGTTTTTGAAAACATAAAAAACCGGAATAAAATCGTAATTGATAACTTTGAACATAACCTGTCTTCAGAAAGGACAACATAACCCGTAGGGCACAGCTAATAGATCTACTTCATTGGCAGCATATTCAGTAATAACTTTCTCACACAGCAAATATCACTGATTTTATACACATACAGATCAATACACATAATCATCCAGATGCGATTTTGCTGTTCAACCAACTTTCTTTGTTTCACATCTTCTCAGGGATGAAAACTACAGACTACTCGGCTTCACAAAACATATGCAACCAACAATGCGTGTAGTTGAGTCATACCTCCATAGATGGATGCTCACAACGATCCTAATGAGCAAACATGAAATGAATGAAGCTGATAAGTAACCTGGGTATACTGCCTAACTACTTAGTTAGGTGGGTAGTTTGGTATGACAGAAAGTAGAAAAGATAAAGGAAAAAAGTGGTGTTGGGTCAATATTTTAGAACTAGGTGCAAATGCAGCTAGATAAAATTATAAAGCAGACTCGGTAGTGCTCCCGAGGAAGGGACGAGGAAAGTACGATTGGTCAAAAATACACAGTTACCAGTAGAAAGTGCGAAAAAGCCTTTGATCTTATGACTTCTAACGATGCCTACATTTTTCTACGAAATCATCCTTTTTTTAGGTGCCTTACTTGAAGAGGCCCGTAAATGACAGAGGCCCCCACTTTTTTATTGTTGTCGAAAATTGTATGGAATGGCATCGCGTAATTGTAATTATACAGATCGATTCGTGTCATTGTTGTTCTGGCGGCATGGACAATAGATAACCAATATCCCTTGCTTAAAAAAATGCGAATTGAACAGTAGTTGACTAGTGATGATTCATCTGTCGTACTGCCTTCTTTGCCACTACGTAACCTCAGTAACCACTGTACCGATTTTTCAAAACTTGGAATGTGCTGTATGGTCACAAGTTTGAAAACGAATGTATGGGCGCTAAGTTAAGTACAGAACAAATGTTTTTTTTTATGTCTTGTATCTGTAGTTATGTGAAAAAGTGAAATGAAGAATAGAAAATAACGTGAAGGAAATGAAATGAGACCTCTGCAAACTATACTAAGTGACATATATATCCGAACACCCAGTTTAAATGGTTTTATTTTAATAAAATTTTGTATAAGTACTTAATGAAGCATAATAAGTAAATGATAAAAATTTCAAAATGACTGCACTGCTTTAAAGCCATTTGACCTTTAATAATGTGTGGATGCACCCTGATGTGCTACGCATTCTCCAACGCGCCTAGGAATGCTTCTGATCAGGTGGTCAATGTCCTCCTGTGGTATCTCATTCCAGGCAACCACCAACTCCTCTCGAAGTGCTTCTAGAGTCTGAGGAGGAAGTTGCAAATTGAGCAATCTCCTACCCATCATATCCCACACGTGCTCAATTGGGAATAAGTCGGGAGATCTTGGTGGCCATGGTAACAATGTGACATCATTATGTTGAAAGAAGTCTATTGTCACTCTTGCAACATGTGGTCGGGCATTATCTTTTTGGAAAGTTGGATCTGCCAGGGTGTCAAGGTAGGGTAAAAGATGGGGTTCTAGAACTTCGTGGATATAACGCTGCGCGTTCATGTTACCACTGATGAAGATTAAAGGTGACCTGGAACCATAAGCTATAGCACCCCAAACCATAACTCCAACAGTGTGATGAACATGTCTTTCAACAAAAAACTGTGGACTCCTCCTTTCACCACGTCGCCTTCTAACCCTGGCACGACCATCGTGCATGCCTAAACAAAATCGAGACTCGTCACTAAAGACAATACTGTGTCATTCCTGATCCCAGAGTGATCGTTGTCTGCACCACTCAAGGCGATTACGTCGGTGTTCTCGAGTTAAAGGGAGGACCCAGTGTGGCCGGTATGAAAACAAGCCAAAAATTCTTATTCGTCGGTAAACACTTCGCATGCCAACAGGTCTTCCGTGTTCTGCAAACCATTCATTTGCAATGGACCTGGTAGACGAGAGAAACGGTCCCTTAAGGCCAATAATCAGGCGGCAATCTTCACGGTCTGTTGTTCTACGGCGGCGTCCAGTGCCCCTTGCTCTTTGCGTACGGCCTTCTCGAAGCCATGCCTGACAACACCTAACCACAGTGTCTACACTTCTTTGCACTCTAACTGCAATTGCCCGAAAAGAAAGTCCAGCTTCCCGAAGTCCCACTATACAGCCCCTATCAAACTCACTAAGTTGACGAAATCGTACAGGTCTCCGTACTCTAGGCATCGTAACCGATCGTAAAGGATGTCAAGAACCAAAATCCGCCAACGTTGATTCTTTACTGCGACTGAAATATTCATTTTTAGAGCGTTTGTGAATTAAAAAAAAGCAGTATAAAAACCGGAATGTCCAACTGATAAGTCTGAAAATTTTTTCACTTGTTATTTACAGTAAGATAAATACATTCACCAATTTTTATTAAAATAAAACCATTTAAACTGGGTGTTCGGATTTATATGTCACTTAGTATACAAATGATATGACATGGATGCCACTGCAGATTCGCAATATTTGACAACCCCTCAGGTGTAGATACCTCAGGTAGAACAATGACGAAAGCTGAACGACTATCCTCTATTCATACAATAAAGTCTATCGAAATGAGACAGCACAAAGTGCCATCTGTTACTAGAATCGACCATTGCGTATTGTTATCACTTTTGCAGTGGTCGATTCTGGTAACATGTAGCGCTTTGTTCTGGCTTATCGATAAATCTATAGATGGGTTGATGTTCTCAATCTAGTATCTGCTTTACTTTCCCTAGTGGTTACTATATCCCGATTGACATATTTGAAGTGAAAATAAATGCAGAGTTGTGTATGAATTGAAAGGAAATGTCCAGCAGAAAACTGTTTACAAGGATGAGTGAAACTGACGCTCAAGACTTCAGTCTTCAGTCGCTTTCCTACGTTGTCTACACAAGCAAGCTAAGCCAAGTTATTTGTAAATATGTCCTCCAATTCCGTAACAAATTTAACGAAGCTCCGAAGATTCACTTTCTAGCCTCCAAATTGATCATGTTCTGGAAATTAGAAGTAAAACTACACATCACATTTCTGTGATATCGCGTTTTTTACCCTGGTACACTCATGAATCGAAGATAAGTTTTGGATGGATCTTCTTAGTGAATTACACCTTTACCTATAAAACCTATAAAACCTATAAAAAACGGATTCCAGATATGATGAAATAACAATACATGCTTGTCTAAAGCCATTAGCAATGTCAGGAATAGTCAAGGTCTCGACGTTCAGGCACATATAATCGCCTTGAGCATATATTTGGCTGCAAAAACTTACTAGTTTCCTGATCAGGTCGATCTGAATTTGCCAACAGGTCCTGATCCCCATGACTTCCTCTCTCCATGGATCCGCCCACCTTCCGGTGGAGCGACCGCTTTGCCGAGACTGTCACTCATTGAAAAATGCCCACTTCCTGAGTAGATTTACGGTACCGCTTAAGAGAGTTAATCATGCAAGGTTTCTCCGCGTGTGGCTTCACTTCTCTCAATCTGTAAGCTCAAGGCTTTGCCGACACCCTTTCGGTCGCTTTTAGAAATGGAAAACGGTCTTAGTGCAGATCCCGACTGCGAGAAATAGATCGATGGAGTCCCCTTTCGCGCTGAATGCTAAAAAGAAAGAACAGGCCTTGGAAGTTGGAAACAAAAGACGGAGAGAAAGCAATTTGCTACCAATCTTTGCGTTTGAAGGTTGCACTTTGTCATTGTGCTGCTTATTTTTCGCTAGTGCCGTTCATGGCAGGTGTTCTGAATTTTCCCAGAATTATTTTTCATGTTTACTTACAGTACAACGCGTTTATGAAAAATAGTGTGAGAGCAGAGCCGACTTAAGCTGTGTAGGGGCCAAAGCTGGTCATATACTTACCAAGATCGGAAGCAGAAGCAGGCGTATATCGAAAATTTCATCATCATACTATTTTAAGGGCGAATGTGTCAAACATGTCTAACAGGTGCAAAACATTACCGAGGTTGAGAGCGTCTAAATATACTAGCAACAAAAAGAATATCTGCAATTGAAATTGGGATGTCTTCTGAGTATTTTTTGAAATTAAAGAGTATAGTATTGGGATATTGAACACTGCGTTTTATATAGGAAAGTTTCTGTACTATTTGATAAAAAAAATCAAATTTGAAACTAAAAAGATGAAAAACCGGAAGTAAACTTTTTGTACCAAAATTTGGATAACTTCGACCACTTCTATTTTTAATCTTTTTACTCCAAAATATAGCCTGGATAGTTTCAACATGAATATAGTGTAATGTATGTACCGACAATGTTTTGTGTTTCACTCTTCTTGCTATAACGATACATCTATTGTAAATGATTCTTAACTTCGTATGCGTTAGCCAAAAAATCTACTGTTGAAGAATCTTGTATAAATTCTTTGTCCAAGTCCGATCCGACTCGGTTGGATTTAAAACCACCGGAATGGAAACCATAGAAAAATCAGAATGACACCACCGGAATCGGAATTGCAACCACTGGAATCAGACTCGAAATCACCGCCATTGGAATCGAAATCGGTATCTAAACCGCCGGAATCGATTCCTTTGGGACCGTAGGAATCGATTTCTTCAATTCCTACAGCGGTATCGTTACTTGGGATAATGCCAGCTCTAGATCAGACCGCAGCACGCAGCACTAGATCCCAACCAATACGGGGACTTTATTTACTCCTTCCAGCGGTTGTGAAGTATGTTTTTAATGGCGGATAAATTAACATGGAAATAAAACACTTAAATATATTTTTTGCTTTCAGAGGGTAAGTCGATGGCCACATCTTACGATTGCAAGTACATAGAGACCTCAGTGGGGATCAATCACAACGTGGATGAACTGCTAGTCGGGATATTGACGCAGATAAGGTTGAAGCTTGAAAACCCAGAAAGGACCAGGTAAGTCTTATATACCTGGAAATAGCCAACTATTTACTGTATTCCGGCGCCCAAAAAAGAGATCTGAACGAGACTAGCGCCATCTATCAAACTTTAGCAGAACACCAAAACGAAAGGGTTGGTATTTGGTTTTGCTATGGTCTCATAGAGCGCGCTAGGATCTTTAATCACTTTTCGGCGCCTTTCTAATGCCTGCTTCAATTGGATATCAGACATTGACTAACGTATTTCACATGAATATACCCAATCAAAATAAGCATTAGAGAGACGCACATGGGAAGTCAAGATCCTAGAACTAATCTGTGATGTTTGCCTTTCTAATCAAACCACATGCTTTTTATTGCATACGTTTCGGTCGCAATGGCGATCTTTTGCAGTATAATTGCATAATAAAGAAGAATTTTGTGTTCTGACTAGATGTGCCCAGACAAAGTTGGGAACTATCGACATGAAGACCACAGGAGGTTGTTCTATCACCAATCTTAGATTAATAGCCTTACAATGTTTTTGCACTACACTGTATTGTTTTATTTTCAATGACGTAAGCCTGTACAACTCAACCGACTCTGCCTGAAGAAGTAAAATTGTTGTAACTGTCGAGAAGCTGGTTAAATATCAGCTGTTAGATCTGTCGGGATTAGCTGCCATGATATTTCTTTTGCTTTTTTTGTATTTTCGACTAATCCTTATTGGTTCTCAACTGGTTGCTTTTTGGTAAGCCAACAGAAGGTGGGTTTGTCAACTGAATATCTGTTTTTTTTTCATTTTTATTAGTTCACTCAGTTGAACATCGAATTGGTTTATTTATTTTAAGGTTTGTATATATTTTATTTTATACTATATGTACATATTTGCTCAAAAAAAATAGAGTTGGATGTAAGAGTAGCCATCTGGCTTCAAAATATTCATTAATAATATCTATGAGACAGGCCCAATTAGCCTTTTGTTAAAATGGGCTACCGCCCAAGAAAAAGTTACCTCTATTTGTCAAATTTTAGAAATTATATCCTTAAATGCTGTCCTCAAAAGTCAGTTGTCTTGAGAGTTGAATCATTGGTCAAAAATTGGTAACATACGAAATTAGTAGACCTTTGATCAAGAGGTTAAATTGATTGGTTCAAAACAACAAAAAAACACACCTCTAAGAAGTACTTGAAGAATTCTTGACCTTTTATACAAATTCAGAGGTTATAGCTTACCTAATACTAACCTAAAATATGCCCTTAGGTTCTTTTTGGGTATATTGGTAAGTAAAAATTATTTTATTATGACCAATAAAAATTCTTTGTAAATTTGCCACATAGATTAGTAAAAGACAAGTCGATGTGTCTACTAAGTAACCCCTTTGTGCACCTTGAAGTTAGTAAATCGTCGTCTTGATTTCAACATTAACACTAACTTTGAAAGAAAGATTTTCACTTCCACGAACTGTCTGAAAATTTGAACCGGAAGAGACTAAGCGACTAAGGTTTATAGGCACACCTCAAAATGCTATTACCATTCTTCAGGCGCGCATGCGTATTGTTGACCCTTTTTTTGCATGCAATAAGCTGAATACGCGGATTTAAAAAACTACACGGTAAAATAGCGTATGAACCACAGAACTATCAAAGTCAAACGCCAAATGCTACGGACCCCGATACTTCCATCTCTCTCTCACTTTGTCTCTCGCTCTCTCTGTTTGGATTACACGAAGTGGGATTGTAGTAGGTATAATTCATACACATCTTGCCAGCTACGGCAAACTAATAAATACCGCCTATTTATGTTTCATCAAACTGAAAAATTATTCAATGTTAAATTGTTTGTCCGAAAATAAAATCCAAGACCTAATCACACCTCGATTTGGAACTTGGCCTCTAAGTTATTATTAGGTCTGAAATAGGGTAAGCTCAACTATACAATTGAAAGAGCACACAATTCCGACCTGCAGGTCGAAATTCTGAAAATGGCCATAGTTGATATTTGAGTTTAATTAACAACTTCGCGCATTAAACCAAAGCGTCCTATAACTTGAGGTTATGTTGTTCTCGTTAAAACTATTAACAAGATTCTTCAGCTTAGCTTATTTCTAAGGGCCATGAATTTTGAGTAACTATTGTGGCCATATTTGACGAAAAAAATACCTGCGCACAGATTTCTCGTTCACGTTTGATGGAAAATCTAATTTCGAAATCCTTCTGTTATAATCACTACCACAAATGGAAGCCATATCTTTAACATTCTTAGCTACATATAGACAAGTACGTAACATCAGCAGTCAACCTTATTTTTGACCAATAGATTAGCAACTGTATATATGAGCAAGATAGAGAGAGCGACAAAGTATTTTTCCTTTATTCTTAAATTTAGGTCAGAGACTCATGTGATTTTATACGGCAAAATTACTACGATTTCACCACAAGATGACCTGAGTAGTTGTTTATATCCTTCGACCTATTATTAATAAATCTCTCATCGATCTAATTAATATTGACCTCTAAATTACTTTGGTTTTATTCCTCGTTTTGGGAAAAAGGCAAACACTAAATTGGTCATACAGTCTTTTTAACCTTTTTTACGGTCGAAGTAACGTAATTATAAGTTAAAATGTTTGTTGGGGGGGCACTATTAACTCTTTCTAAAGCGGATGTCTAAGTCCATTGTTGTGTTCTGTTATCGTTTCATAGATGGCTGTAGAATCTTTCAGATCTCTTTTTGGACACTCGAGCACAATCTATGGTTGGCTATCTTCACATATAATAAGTTAATCAATGCAACTACAGAGTTTTACCACTCGCAAAACCAGTTTTCTTAACGCCCGATATGTCTCGCTAACTTTGTCGGGTGTTAAAAAAAACTGTTTGGCGAGAGGTAGACCTTTGTAGCTGTCATAGTCGGTACGCGAAAGCATCCAGCCTTACATAGCACTAGTTTCATTTCAAAGGTACATTTGAAATATGATCCATACTATACTTAACATCTGTTCGTATTTGCACTTCATTAAATCAGCCTTTATGTTCAGCGAAAGAACAGCCAGTGGTGTTTGCAAAACATAATTCTACTTAAAAACATTCAATGTAGCCGAAAATTGAATTTATATAAATTTACTTTATTTTGTTTGTTTGTTTAAGATTTATTTAACATGATTGCTACAATTGCATTCTTCTAAACAACTAAACAATTACATAACATACATACATTCAGAAAAAAAAATAAAATTTGCATCTCTAAGAATTTTCATTGTCCATGAAATATTCCTTTAATTTCTTTTTAAATATCGTTAAATTACAAGTAGGCTTTATATCATTATATAGTTTATTAAATTCAAGTAATCATTTCTGAAATATCGATTTGCTAGTTAGTATATATTAGAAAATCTATATTTTCTGTTGTATAATAATTGTGTTAATGATTATTCAATTCTATGTAGTGTTCTAAATGTTCTGGCAAAAGATGATTTTTTATTTTAAATATAAAAGTAAGAACCAAATATGATATGAAATTTTTTATATTCAACCACTGCAATTCTTGTAACATATATTTTATTTTGGTGTACTTATTTTTATTCAATATTATACTCATAGCTCTATTTTGCAGTACATGTAATTTTGAGAATACAGCTTCATTGGCAGTCAACAGGATATTTGAACAATATAGTAAATGCGGTAGAATAATTGTATTATAAATTTTTTTCTTGGAATAGGTACCAAGACTATGAGAAGCACTATAAAAGTAATTCGTTTTTTTGGCAATTTTTGAAATAATGTATTTATAGTGATCCTCAAACTTAAATATTTAATTGATTCAACATTTTCAGTTATTTCTCCATTTATCCTAACTGTGATAGTATTTTCATTTAGGCATTTCCGTATCAGCATACATTTTGTTTTAGAAGTATTCAATTTACATTTAACCAATTTACGATTTTGCCATAAGTATATTAATGTATCATCTGCAAATATTTGAAGTTTACAATAATCTAAAATATTACAAATGTCAGTAATGTATAAAATAAATAGTAGTGGACCTAGTTTTACTACCTTGTGTTATACCAACAGAAATATTTTTTGATCTTGAAAAAGTAGATCCAATTTTGGTTTTTTGACTTCGGTCAATTAAATAGTTTTGTAGAATTTTGAATACAGATCCTTTAAATCCGTAGTGATGCAATTTTGTAAGTTATGTATCCCTGTCAATAGTCTCAAACGCCCTTTTGAAGTTCAAAAACACTGTTATTGTATGTTTCCGATACATCTCCTCCAGTCATCTAAAACCATTTGTGTTGCCGTTTCAGTTGAGTGTTTCTTCCTGAATCCAGCTTGAAATTTGGTTAAAATGTTATTTGCCTCAATAAATTCGATGATCTGTTCGTAAATAATTTTCAAAAACTTTTTCACCATCTGGCAGAACATTTATTGGCCGCATATTGGTGTACAACTCAGAATTCTTAACTTTAGAAACAGGTGTTATGGTAGAACACTTCAGTTGTGTTGGAAATTCGCCATATTTTAAACAGTAATTTATCAGGATTAATATTCTTGCTCCAATGATATCAAAACATTCATTAAGCACACTTTTAGACAAAATCTCCCTCTTATTATGGTTTGATTTAATTTTTGATATATCTTCATGAGACGATTAATGTTTAGTGTTCTAAACTCACTGAATGCCGCATTATAATCTACGATAATGGGTCATTGGTTTGGAGGGTCAATAATTGATTTTACAATGTCGTTGACACTTTCTATGAAATAGGTATTCATTCCATCTGCTATTATTTCTTAATTTGTTATTACCCCATCGTCGAATTTCATTTTAGATAATGTACTTTTTCTAATAGGATAAACAATGTTTTCCAACGTTTTCCACATATGTTTGCTATTATTTTTACTCTGATCAATTTTGGCATTGTAATATTTTTTCTTTTCATTTCGTATAACTGTTACAGATTGGTTTCTTCATCTTGAGTATTCTAGCCAATCATTTTTACTTCCAGAAATCATAAACTTTTTATAATGGTAGTCTCTTTTTAATTTAGAATTCTTGAACTTCTGGAATAACCAAGGTGTTGGATTTTTCCTTTTATAAATTGTTGTCTTGACTGTAGCTTCTTTTATGCAAACTTCAACAATATCCAATAGGTTTATATAGTAGCTATCACCATCAACAAACGCTTCAGTCATACCTTGCAGTAAAAGAGCTTCTCGTAATTTTACATATTTGTTATTACTAATTTTTTCCACTTTGTTAGCATCAAATTTACTTTCAACTTCGAAACATACCCATGAATGATCACAGATCTTAGGAGTATGCATAACTTTTGCAATTAAATTTTGTTCGTTCGTTATTATAAAATCTATAATTGTTCTTGATTGATTTGTAATTCTGTTGTGATCATAGACTTTTTGCCATAGTACATAAAAACTGAGTACCTGTTTAAATGTCTTTGCGTAGAAGTCTTCATTATCAAAATTTATATTAAAATCGCTCAAATGTACCGTGATGCAGTTTTTATACACGGTTTGAAGTTGAGTCATTAATTTTCAGATAATGATTGTAGAAGGAAGATACACCAAAATATGTGTGTAAAAATAAAAAAAAATAAAAAAAAATGTTACCTTGTTTTATAAAGTATCCTCCCGACAAGTATTTCAGTGCGGACCTGTATTTGATCGTGCGGTCTTGGAACACCGGCATGCCCTCCCCTGTGAGGTCTTAAGTCACCTGATTCACGAGCCCTTTGTACTACATTAACAAAGGCATGAGGGGTTGGTTGCACTCGATTGGGAAACCGATCCGCATAAATCCGTGATGCCGCGGCATGTAAAGACTCCCCCCCCGTAAATAAGAATCATGTCCACAAGTTCAGCATTTTCGTAAACATGTGCCATTTTTTAATTCGTTTGAGCCACGCAACAAATACCACTATTCACTCACGCGTTACCGACTGACACATTGACTGAATACAACTGAATAAAATTGTAGTAAAAACACCGTGATAAGCGTTTCAAATTCTTTCGCTTTTTTTGTTTCCGATGCGATGAACCAATAAGGCGGATTATATCCGTTGTTGCCAAACACGAGCACATAATATTATTATTGAGACAGGGCGGTACTCAAACTTCTAAAGGACTATAACTTTGTTACTTTGATTTTACCACAAAAATGTTAAAGGAAAAACATTTCTTTTGATCAGATCTACTCACTGTTAAAATAAATGACTCAACTTCGAAGTCCCTGTATTTCCAGTTGGAGATCTGTAGTAAATGTGTAAATTATAATTGTGCTTAAGATTACATTTAACATTGATATACCACCATTGGTACTCAACAGCTACAATTTCATGTACTCTAGTTTCTGTTTCACATGAAATATATAATAATATACGACCTGTATGTCTGGAAATTGGGTTTACTCTTACAATTTGATAGCCTTCAAAACCAATTTCTTCATCGTCAATATCCTCTGTCAGATGTGTTTCATTTAAACACAGCATTACCGACTTCACCGTCATCAAGTAATGTAAAACCACATCTTTTTTAGATTTTGAATATTTAATAATAATAATAATAATAATCCGGCTTTATTTATACAAAGTATAAAAAGGCGAAGTGTCGCTAAAAAGCGTTTTTCAACTTAACCCATGTGGTAAATATAGTTTGTATATTCTTTTACCTGTAATTGCTATGGTTTATCACTGCAATATGCTTTGGCTTGTGTTTTTTTTATGTTCCGCATACATTTGGGGTAAATCGTCTATTCAGATATTGAGCTAAGAATCCTGGAGACTGGTAGCTCAATGATGATAAAGCTCCTCTCCTTACATTTTTTCAACGACATCGGGAATAGCTTCCATTAGTGGTAAGGAATATTTAATGTCCCCGGCTTAGGCTGGTATGGGAAAGATACGTCGAGCCTAAATCCGATAAAGGGATTCGATGGATATAGGCAGAGATCCGGGCCTGACGCCGAGTGACCCGGTTAAAGCATTCTTCAGATGAACAAAAGGGCGATGCTGTGCCCGAGGGAATGGAGGATATTTCAACAGAGGATGAAGCAAAGGGATGGAATTAAGTCATAATAGGAGACGAGCTAGTAAAATCAATTATCTGAAATAGAATGTCTTTCCCTTTCGAAGACAATGTACTGGGTGGCCAAAACAAATGAAAATCGCTCAAACCTTTTGAGGTTTCAGCGGATCCTGATTATTTTAGAAAAAAGTTTTAGAATGGGGATTGTAAGGGGATGATTTTTTGATGATGGTATATTAGTACATTTATACGCTTAGAACATTTGTAATTCTACGCACCTATCATAATTTTCTCTATACGAGGTGGCCAACTAAGAATGCGAGGTACTGTATCTGGGAACCTATCCATCCTAGAGAATTCGGTCAAAAAAAGTTCTGATTAAAACGGCCAAGAGAAAAACCTGTAAAATATTTTCAAGTTTCTAAAATGGCCCCTGGGGGCGTAGATGCAATCTTGAATCTAAAAAAGTGATGTTTCTGTGAATTCCACTATATTAACTTAACAAAAAAAACTGATCTTTGATTTCGAGGATAATGTGAACTTTTTTCTTTGACAATTTTTGCCGTGTCTCTAAAAATAAAGTGGTAACAGTGTACTCAAAGGTTTCCTTAAAAAACACCCTGCATCTTCGAAATGGATGCGCCGATTTGAACAAACTTGGACTTGCGCTACAAATGTGATAATATTTGAAGCTTTGTTAGTTTGATATGTGGCCGCTAGAGGGCTTTTTATGACATTCAGACAGAAATGATTAATTTTCTCAAAAAAATTGAATGCTGGTATGTTTTTTTTTATGGAAAAGTAGATAAATAATGTCTAAACAAGCTCGCAAAAACCGCATCTCTATATCTTGTTCGTAAAACTTAGGCCAAAGAAAGTTTCATACGGGAGTCCCTTAAATTTTAATTTGTTCAAACTAATTTTTCTGGAATTTCTTTTTATTACTTTTATTAAGCTGTGGCCCTAAAAAGGACCGATTTAAAAAATAAAGGTTTGTTAGATGTATTATGCAATTTCCTAAACCCAGACTGGGTATCAGGTAACACTTTTTCGAGTTCTGAATGCCCACGAAGTATCTGCAGTTTTCTCTAACAGTTGGGACATTGAAGATAAAGCACTTATTGGTCTGAGGTCCTTAAAATCAATGGCATTGTTGACTTTTGCAAGTGGTGTTATGACTGCCTTTTACCATAATGATGGCGCTTCCCCTGTTCAGTGATTGGTTGATGATACTTTTTCAACATATTTGTAGTTAATCTAATTTATCAAACAATTTATTTTCCCACTATGTTATCATCTTCAGGGTACAATTAAAAACAAGTAGTCATAGTGGCATCGCCAACCGATCCAACATCAGATATTTTATGTATGATGTTTGCAGGGACTTGTTCAGAAAACGAAGTTCATCAAAGAAGAACCTGAACAGGAACAAAAGTCCTGCTTCAGGCACTGCCACTCCAACAGGCAGCGTTCAAAACTCGCCCAAAAAGTACAGAGGAAGCAGAACATCCGCCAGTCTCAAAGTCAGAAATCTCCTGGGAAAAGTCTGGGCTAGAGATTCCAAGTCAAAAAGTTGCGAAAATTTGCATGTACTTTAAAAAAGTGTTTTATTTCGGTTATTTAGTTGAATTAAAAATAATTATGTACCTTTCATGATGGATTTTCAGCAATTTAGCAAATGTCTACTTCAGTGAATACTAAATTCGTTGGAAGGATAAAACTTCAAAAATATTTTCTTCTCACATCTCAAAGTATATCCTGAAGAGTAGCCGTTTTGGTATCATTTCAGAAAAATTCATCATGAAACGGTCTGCGCACACTGATGTTTTAAAAAAGTGCACAATTTTCTCCACCCACAATTGTGATATTGGTTTAGTTTTATGTTGATGATCTGTTTACATTTATGTGTAAGGTATCAGAAAAATTTCAAACAGAAGTGAAGAAAGAATACACTGTGATAAAAGCACAGTGATATGAACAGAAATAAAGCTGCATTTTTCATGGTTTCAGGTTTCAAGAAAGTTTGTTTGCTAAGGAAAAATAAATTTAAAGTCTCAAACATTCATTGTGTAGTGCAACAAGAAAATTAACTTGGAAGCAAGATGGAAGAAGGGTCGGTTTTGCCTGTCTAAGTTTTTAGGGTCCTGGGTTTTAGTGTTTGCGGGATTGTGATAGGGAACCTACAACAGTTCAAAGTCATATGTCGCATCTGTCCTTGAGAGTCTTGATTTTTCTAGCAATTTTCTGAAGACTGAAGGAGGAGGAGGATCAACATTGGCCACGGATTCGTATTCAGTAGGCAAAGGTACTTCGGAAATCGTATGCCGCATGTGCAGAAAAAATCGCTCCTCAAAAGTCTTCATTCTTGTGAAGACTGCTCCTGCAGATGGAAGAGTGATAGAGCTGAAATTACTATGATTCGTAAATCGGAGACTAAAGTACTCCAGAATCATATATCGCATGTGCAGAGCCAATCATTCTTGAAATATCTTCATTTTCTGATGGTTTTCAAGACTGAAAGGGAGGTTGAGCAGAAATGACCACGGATTTGTGTTCAGAAGACAAACGTGCATCGGAAACCATATATCACATGCAAGTTAAAGAAACCCGTTTTCTGTAGGCCTGAGTGGTGAGTCCACAAGAGTGAAAATAGTTAAAATAGAGTGAGAGGTTATTAAGAAAGTATTGGTTTTCCATTGATGGTATTTTTCCTGTTTTAGGGGCTGGTTGGGGGATACTAAGAGGAGTGGTGGTGGTCTGCTCAGGGTGACATCGACTTGTTCTTTAGTAGATACAACATGAACTTATTTTTAACAATTCCATCCAAATTAAATTTTAGACAAAAACTGGCCTTAGTAACTCTCCTCCTTTGATAATTAAATTATTTTTCAACCAGGAGCTTTTTACGCCATAGGGAGGTGAAATAAATTTAGCGTTCACTATATTTAAATTTACAGATGCTCATTGACCACAAGAACTGCCTATTTGTTGCTAGACAATGGCAAAACTATGGATAACCGGTGATACAGTACGATTGATTGTAATTTTAGAGCCACTATCCATTTGGAGGCAACCCTAGAATTTTTTGACTCACTCGATAACCAGTCATAGATGATTTTTTTTAATTATAAGCGTTTATGTGCCTTGTGGCGTTAGAGCTGGAGGTGTTTCACACCTTTTGTTGTTATTTTTCATCGCAGTATAAGCATCTACTTTATGCCTTTGTCACCTGAAAAAGCAGGATGTTGGCACACTCTGGTAACATTTTAGTCTAAAAACAGGTATTTTAACGAAATTCCTATGGAAAATCAGCTTTTTTCTGTATCTATCAAACAATTCTATACACCAAAATAGTGCAGTGTTTTATTTTGAGGCTAAGTGAAAGATGTTCTTAGACGTGCAACATGCCTGTCGTTACAGTTACCTGTATTCGTCACCTGTATCAAATTGTCAGGTGAAAGAAAATATACAGTTTGCAACAACAAATACTACACAATTCAAGCGTAAAAAATAGTAAATCGTGCAAATGGCAGCACTGGGTCGGTGCTGCACCTTCGTTGATATCTGCTTTGGTTCCTATCCAGTGTTTCTGTTTACTCTCTAAGGTTCTTTACAAGTGCTGAATTGACAGATAACTGTTGACTGGCAAATAGTGAATCAGAACATTGATATTACTAGGCAATAATATTGAAGGTATTAATTACTGGTTAATATTAAATTAAGTACTATAATCATAATGGGTCCACAAATTGTCGTATTATAGATACGTAGAATTAACAATATAGAGAATTTATTAGTTGGTAGGGCTTTAAGATAATACAGTGAAAACTTGAGCTCAATAAGATTTACATTAACACAAATATTGAAAATGTATATGTTCATTATAGTTTACGTAACAATGATAAGTTAAAAAATTTAGAAACTCCGATACCCTGCCATAAGATTAATGAGTGGGCAAGTGTGATATACCTTGTATACAGAGTGTCCCTGAATATACAAACATGTCAATGTCAGGTATGCATGTAAAACACACAAAAATGTCATAAGCACCTTTAAAAATATAAATATGAAATAAGGAAACAAAAGTAACAGAACGGTTTTATGTTTTTTCAGGTAAAGTACTTTTCAAAAAGTCGTCAGCTAACTTTGAACAAGGAAGTCGAATGGTAGACTTGGATTTAGCTTTGAGCCTCTCCTTCACCCTTATTTGAAGACCAACATTTTTTTTTAATGAAAGGCTACTTTTTGAAACCGGCAATCGACAGAACGAAAAATTCTACATTCAAATATATTTTAAAATCTTAGATCACCTCTAAAGATCAATTAATGGTGTGAATAGTTTGTGGCTAGAGAAGACTCAAGATCTTCGCTGGAAGTTACTAAATCCCTGTCCTTAATAATTTTATCCATCAATAATTCTGTTAAGCTTCTCTGAAATTCGTTTAGTCTCACTCATTACCTTCGTTTGACCTTCAGGAGTCTGTTTAGGACTGAGAACAACTTTTCTCCACATAACTTTCGCACTTTGTACAATGTCTGGAGTGATGCCACCCCGATGACAATATCTATGACCGATGCTTTCCAGAGGAGGACTGCCTGACTGATCTATGACCCTTCTTTAACGAACAGTCTCAGGACCCTTTTGCATCGGCGGGCTGCTGGCGATCTAGCTCTCTTCTACCGCTCTACCACTGTGTCAACAGGTCTAGCTCCTCATATCTGTTCTCCATAATGCCGCCGCGCGTTGAGCCTGCCAGATCCGCCAGGCTTCTACCTCGCATCTCAACCCTGTCGAACGACAAACATCAAGCACTGGCAAGTGCGGCCCCTCCTGCGTTCCTAGGTTGTCGAGGTTGTGGGACAGTCTACCTTAGCGGGCTTTTATTTTTCTTTCTGCCTAAGCGGCTGCTTATATATCGAGAAAGAACCGACCTTAACCTTTTCCAAAAATACCTTACCTGGAAAAACACGAATCCGTTCTGTTACTTTTGCTACATCCGAGCTTTTGTAAGATCCTTACCGAAAATTTTAATATGCTACAAAACGCTTGTGAGATAAGGTATCGGACAAAGAGATACAGAGGGATTTTCCCCTATAACAGTAACATTTGTAAAGCGCATATCTTCGTACTTCCTTCTCTGTATGTTCTGCACATGTTCAATATGAGCTACATAATTATTTATGAGATGAATATGATGTTAATTTAAATCTTTTCCAAGCTCTTCCATATAACGCTTATATGTCCTAATATATAACTAGATTTTTTAATTACAATAAAAACCGTTAGGAGAGTTTTTCATTACTCAGAAAGGGACATAAAACATTGACATTGACTTACGTATCCTGAAAATACCCAATTAAAATAAGTATCAAAAAGGGTCTAGAGCTCCTAGTGCCATCTATGAGGCAGTAGCAGAACCAAACACTCAAACTTCTTTCCAAGCAGATTTCTGCATTTTTGTGTTATTCTAGTGATTCAAAGATGGCGATAGTACCTTTCAGATCCCTCTTGGATGTCGACATACAGTATATGGTTGGGTATCTTCAGGTAAAATACGTTAATCAATGATGATATCTATTTAGCTTAATGATCACGTAAAAAATATTTGAAGAGTTCCGATCATATACATTGTAACACTCAAATATATATTTTTTCAAATTTTCTTTGTGATGAGAACCTCTTCGTACTTAATTATAATGTTTACATAATCCTTATACACAAAAACAAGGTACAACAAAACTTGGCGAGCGGTGTAGCTTTAAAAATAGATCTTATTATACTAACTTCTTTAACCGATTATTTTCGTATTATCACTTAGTTGCTTGACCTAGATTCTTTGAAAGTCATATTCGAATACATTCGAACGAAAATGTCTTATCTACTTTTTGAAATAAAATCAAAGAACCTGCTTCTTTTCAAAGAAACTAAGTTGAAGCAGTATCCAAACTGAGTTTAGCTTTCTTTAGAGAAAATGCAATAGGCAAAGTATATGTATGTGATACTTATAATTTTGATAGTTTTATGACTAGATCATATCTGTCAGTCAAATTGTAGAAGAGAAAATTGTGGGTGATGTGATCTGACTAAGCTTGGAGGACGTTTGATTTATGTTTTCACGCCTAAAGGTATAAGGGAGCAAACGATCTTAGGCTAGTGTGAAAAATTATGAAGTTGCGAGCTTCTGGAAAACAAGCATTACAAATATAAAGAAAAGTTATGAATAAGATGTTTGAAATAGCTTTAAGTCATACGTGAGAACACTGCATAAATCTTATATGTAACTAATTGAGGTATTGTAATACAAGAATCTTAGTCGGATGTTGTCAAGAATCTAACGACGTTTTAAGGTAAATGTTGATATCGAAACTAATTCAATATTGTACAGAGGAATCCAAATATCACTGACTAATGTGTACGAGAGAGCAGCGCGAAAAGCGTGCAGCACGTTTGTTAGAAGCAGTGCGCCTTTGGCAACATGACAAACAGCAGCTGCGTCACTCGATGTGCTAGGCAACGTGGTGCTTGTATCTTTTTCTAACACGTATTGCATGCTTCTCGCGCATCTCTCTCGTTCGCATTACGACGTGAATGGTATGTGGATTTCTCTGTATACAAGACATGCTGGTAATCTCGATAATAAATAAGGGTTTATTTTGAAAATCTAATCAAAATCAAGACTATGGTTAGGCGATGTTCATCGTAATCGGCACCCACAATTTTTTCTAAATCATTCTTTACATATTTAGCATTAAAATTAGATCAATTTAATCAAAATTATATCATTGTTCGTAGACATTTTCGACCAATTTTTATTTCTTGTGCCTTGAGGCTTGCGAAAAGAGTATTGAGATTATAAACAATAAGCATTTACGTGTAAATGGTTGTTTGAATTTAAACCAAGCGACAAGAAATGGAGGAGAAAATATGAAAGCAGTAGGAAACTAGGAATATAAGATTTTCTTTTATAATACATCATATCTCAGTGTTAACTACCATATACAGTATTTAAGATATGCAGAGCGTCTCATCTACTGTTATAACATATACAGAAAAATTCCAGATGCAAAAACTAGAAATTTAGAATTTCAAAGCCATACGAGATAAAAAATAGTTTTGTCAGAATTGAAGCTGCGATCTTTAGTTTTCCCAAGTCGACGCTACTGGCTTTTATAGATGAATATTTTGAGCACTCTCTGAAGCTATACAGTGCTGACCAAAGTCGTTTTCCCTTTTATATTCCGATGAGTATGAGCGAGAGAGAGAGAGCGGGTTGCATGCAACACATATGGCAGAGTGCGTCCTATAGACCTCGTGCAGCCGCTCTCCGCGCCCTTCCCCCACTGCTATTGCCAGGCAAAGTGGTGACAACGATTATATGACGCACTCTTTCTAACACGCTTCTCTCTCGTACATATGGAAATCTGAAAGGTAAAACGGCTTTGTCCAGTATTTTTTTTGTAGAGGTTTATCAGGCAAAACTTTCAGTAAACACCATTTTGGGACGGTCTGCATATAATCGTAATTTTAAAAGGTTTTTGAATATCTGAATGTATTTTCCTTGTGCTATATATCTTCCAATATATGTAATTTGCTGTTTATTAGATAATTCTATAATTCTATATGTTTAGCTTGTAGTTTAAAGGTTCGCTAAGAATTTATTCTAATATAGGCATGAGAATATTATTTCTAGTTTGCGGTAATATATTGTTTATCAGACAAATTTGATTTGATTTTTCCAGTTACGTTGGCAACATGAATGTTTACAAGCCAACCGTGTCCTACTCCTTTACTGTGCAAAAATATGATAAGGTAAAATTACAAAATTCATAGTCTGATGCAAATCAAGTTGAGGATTTTTATTGCTAATATTAGAATGAATTCATGTTGAATGAATAGAATAAGTGCCAATTATTTATGATTTCAAGCCACTTTTGCCCCTTATTGATTTTCAACTTTTTTCCAATATGTAATCTCCGAAATTAGCTGGACAATTCTATTCCCTTATCTTTTCAACACCTTATAGCCCAGGCAGTATATTCCCACTCGCTCAAAAAAACATTTTTGTTCGTTTTTTTGCAGAGTCTTATTCATTCAATACTTTTATGCACGCTAACCCCAAAATTGCATCTAAAATTGTTTAAGGAGTTTTTAGAGCAAATTTCAAAAGTTGTTTATGCAGTTTTCTTAATGTATTCCAAAAATTGTTTTTTCCGCTCTGAACGAATAGGTTTTATACAATTTTCTCTCAAGGTGATACTGCTCGATATATAAGCCATTTAATTTTTTAACAAGAGCAAAATATGCGATCTTCGACCCCGAAAAACACTATAAAAACAGAAATTTTAATATCACCAAGGTTTCTAAATAATCTTCAAGAATATATTAACAGAATAACAATAACAATATCCCTTTAACTACTTCGAATATTAAGGATCGAAAATTACACTTTTTGTAATACTGAATCGATTATATTTCGAAAACTATAAACATTAGAAGAAACCTTTTTTATTCGGAATGACCCAAAAACCCGAGAAAACTTTGTTCGGAGGTAAAACAAATTTAGGAATTTGTGAAAAACGGAATTTTTTTGGCAACATGCAGATTTGTTGAAAAGGGTTCTTTTTGAATAACATTATACAACAAAAAAATGAATCAGAATATTTTTCAGAGCGGTTGTGAAGATACTTCCTGGACTATTACTATAAAAACAGACTGTAAACAAAGAGAGGACACAACATTGCGCAACATATCCTCACGTATCGTATTTGATCCTGACACAATGGACAAAATAAAATCAAAATATGTAGATATCTTTTCAAAATCTTTTTAGAATCCTTAGAACTTCTTAAACTGCACAACTTGAAGCTCAAAACATTTATTAACGTATTCTTTTGGAAGATATCCAACCTATATGCCCTTATCTGAAAAATGATGAGACAAAATGAGATATCTTAGCGTCATCTATAAGAACCTGTTACAGCTGCTTCTGTATTTACTATATACATACTTTTAAAACATTGCTGTCTTATAGATGGCGCTGCCTATACCCTCTTTTATGATCATACAATTGGCTGTGTGACACTTACCTTATCAAAGCATATATAGTAAATAGAGGAACAGCAGTAACAAATTCTCATCGATGACGCTGCAGTTTCTCATCTTATCTCGGATAATTTTTTTGATTCGGGAATATAGCATTCCGTTGTCTATCTTCAGGTAGAATGCATTAATCAATGCTTGAAGTCGTACAAGTTCGTAAATTGTAACATCAAACTAACGTACCAAATGTCAGCGGAAGTACAAAAACAGTATGTTAAGAAACTTGACCCGAAATTGAGCAGTTTGCCGGACACCTCTTTAATAACTGCAATCTCTGTCCTATCAATCGCATCTATATAATTTTTTTCAAAAGACCTGATAGTGAAATATATACAAGATGGCCGATCACGCCGTACTATAAATGTCTTTTTTAATTTGTATTGCTGAGACAATACCATTGTGTTAACTGATGGATATCTTGTATATACCAAATATAAAAACCCAAACTAAAAGAATCACTCCTGATGTACTTATTATAGCAAAAGACAAAATGCACATTTGGAATTTTGAATATTTGTAAATTTATATATTATTACGTATATTGTAATCTTATTATACCTAGTAAGAATTTGTAAAATAAATTTTTTGCTGTGAAAAATATATTTCCTCTTCTTTGCCTTATCAATTGCCCCGCACGCATATTATTCCAATATTACTTCAAAATAGAAAAAACGCATCGAAACCTCAAAGGTAGGTATCATGCTGAGTGTCATATCAAGAAAGAACTAACATACAATGAGACGACCAAACTACATATGCCACCAGGGAATTGGATCCATGATCCATCCACTGGATTTTTCTAATAGTTCAGAAAGTTCGCTTGTGTTTCCAAAATTCCTATATTTTGCAAAATGTACTTCAACAATGGTCAGTCGTTGCAATATATGAAGGCAAAATAAATCTCTTGAAAAGCAACATTATGTCGGTTACATACAGGATTTTTTATGAATCGTAATAGATAATTACATTTCACATTAATTTTTATTTCCAGTCATTCAAATTTCATAGAAATTTATTTTACGATGTCAAGTAGAAAATACAAATCAGAGCCTAGATGTGAGGCAGTGCGAAAATGTTTTGTATGTGATGCGTCACTCCCTAATGTTTCTACGATGTGGCTTAATTACACACACAGCGGGTGCGGTGCTAATGTCCCGTGATGTTTCTTAAAGTTTTTGAAAACAAAACAAAATGTTGCTCCTTAACTTTGAACCTAAAAAATGACCACACAAATAACCCGTCTGGCACAGCTTATAGATATATTTCATGTAATAATTTTCTCACATAGCAAATATCACCCAAAGTGAAAATGATTGGAAGCAATATACAAAATCAAGAAATGAGTGTGTAGCAGTTCTCAGTAAGGAAAAGGAAAAATACTATGATGAGAAGATCGATGGCAATAAAAATAGTTCTAAAATGATGTGGAAAACATTAAAGAATATTGTTTCTCCTAATAGAAAGACTGAATTATCTGAAATGCGTTTCGAAGATGGGGTAGTGACAGAAAAATTAATTATAGCAGAAAGAATGAACACCTATTTTATAGAAAGTATAAATCAAATTGTGAAGACGATTGACGACGAACTTATGTCCATTACAAGTATGTCATAATTCATCAATGAATCAATTTAGAACAATTAACATCAACAATCTAAGAAAAGCTATATCGGAATTGAACTCTAATAAAAATCCAAGTGAGAATCTCTCAAAAAATATTCTAAATGATTGTTTGAATATAATTGGAGAGAAATTATTATTATTATTGGTGAATCATTGTTTAGTACATGGTGAATTCCCATCAAAATTAAAGTGTTTCACCATTACGCCTGTGTCGAAAGTTCAAAATTCTCAGCTGTATACAAATATGCGACCGATTAATGTCTTTCCCGATGTAGAGAAGCTGTTCAAAGGGATAATATATGAACAAATCATAGAATTCATTAAAGAAACCAAAATTTTGATAAAAAATCAAGCTGGATTTAGGAAAAAATGTTCCATAGAAACGGCAATCCAAATGGTGGTGGAAGACTGGAGAAGTATAGATGAGAAAGAATACGTATATTGTAACAATATTTTTAGACTTCAAAAGGACATTTGAGACTATAGATAGGGAAAAATTGTTAATGAAATTGCGTCACTATGGCTTTAAAGGATCAGTATTACACATTTTACAAAATTATTTAGTAAATAGAAGTCATAAAACTAAAGTTGGAAATATTATGTCAAGCGTTCAAAATATACTAAGTGACATATAAATCCGAACACCCAGTTTAAATGGTTTTATTCTAATAAAATTTTGTATAAGTACTTAACGAAGCATAATAAGTAAATGATAAAAATTTCAAAATGATTGCACTGCTTTAAAGCCCTTTGACCTTTAATAATGTGTGGATGCACCCTGAAGTGCTACGCATTCTCCAATGCACCTAGGCATGCTTCTGATCAGGTGGTCAATGTCCTCCTGTGGTATCTCATTATAGGCAACCACCAACTCCTCTCAAAGTGCTTCTAGAGTCTGAGGAGGACGTTGCAAATTGAGCAATCTCCTACCCATCATATCCCACACGTGCTCAATTGGGGATAAGTCGGGAGATCTTGGTGGCCATGGTAAAAATGTGACATCATTATGTTGAAAGAAGTCTATTGTGACTCTTGCAACATGTGGTCGGGCATTATCTTGTTGGAAAGTTGGATCTGCCAGGGTGTCAAGATAGGGTAAAACATGGGGTTCTAGAACTTCGTGGATATAACGCTGCGCAATCATGTTACCTCTGATGAAGATTAAAGGTGACCTGGAACCATAAGCTATAGCACCCCAAACCATAACTCCAACAGTGTGATGAACATGTCTTTCAACAAAAAAATGTGGATTCCTCCTTTCACCACGTCGCCTTCTAACCCTGGCACGACCATCGTGCATGCCTAAACAAAATCGAGACTCGTCACTAAAGACAATACTGTTCCATTCCTGATCCCAGAGTGACCGTTGTCTGCACCACTCAAGCCGATTACGTCGGTGTTCTCGAGTTAAAGGGAGGACCCAGTGTGGCCGGTATGAAAACAAGCCAAAAATTCTCATTCGTCGGTAAACACTTCGCATGCCAATAGGCCTTCCGTGTTCTGCAAACCGTTCATTTGCAATGGACCTGGTAGTCGAGAAACGGTCCCTTAAGGCCAATAATCTTAGGCGGTGATCTTCACGGTCTGTTGTTCTACGGCGGCGTCCAGTGCCCTTTGCTCTTTGCGTACGGCCTTCTCGAAGCCATGCCTGACAACACCTAACCACAGTGTCTACACTTCTTTGCACTCTAACTGCAATTGCCCGAAAAGAAAGTCCAGCTTCCCAAACTCCCACTATACGGCCCCTATCAAACTCACTAAGTTGACGAAACCGTACAGGTCTTCGTACTCTAGGCATCGTAACCGATCCTAAAGGATGTCAAGAACCAAAATTTGCCAACGTTGATTCTTTACGGCGGCTGAAATATTCATTTTTAGAGCGGTAGTGAATTAAAATAAAGCAGTATAAAAACCGGAATGTCCAACTGATAAGCCTGAAAATTTTTTCACTTGTTATTTACAGTAAGATAAATACATTCACCAACTTTTATTAAAATAAAACCATTTAAACTGGGTGTTCGGATTTATATGTCACTTAGTATATATCAGTAGGGGTACCACAGTGGAGTAAATTAGGGCCATTACTATTTATTATTTATATAAATGACACATTGATGCATATATATATAGCACATAAACATTTGGACACTGCTTTAGAACTGTTAAACAAATTATGAATTGGTTAAATGGCAATAAACATAAATTAAACAATAATAAAACAAAATGTATGTCAATAGGGAAACATTTAGGTGACAATACAATTAGGCTCATGATTAATGATGAAAAAATTGAAATAGTCGAATCATTTGAATATCTTGGTATATACAGGTATGTGGATAGTAAACTACTGTTTCACGAGCATTATGAATACATTATTTCAAAAATATCAATCTATAGAGTTTCCCATAATTTTAGTATGCATTCCAAAAGAACTGTGTATAACACTATAATTCTTCCCCAGTTTTTATACTGTTCAACGATCTTGTTTACAGCAAATAAAACGTATTTTCAAAATTACAAATTCTACAAAATAAAGCCATGAGAATCATTTTAAATAACAAATATGCTAGGATTAAGTCTATGTTAGAAGAACTACAGTTGTTGAATGAGAAGAATTTCATACATTATTTAGTTATTGTTTTCATATTCAAATTAAAAAATCATTTATTACCGCCACATCTAGAAAACTTCACAAAATTAAATAGTTATTATCATAATTACGAAACTAGAGGTAGTACAGATTTTCATCTGCAAAATTGTAATAGTAGCGTAACCAGTAAATCTATATTTGAAAAGGGAGTATTTGAATTTAATAAATTGAATAATGATACTAAACAGTGTTCGAATTCAAAAATGTTTAAGGTGAAATTAAAAAATTACTCTATGAATGATCAAAATGCATAGTGATGTAGTTTAGACAAGAATGTAAAATTACATAAAATGGATTGAGGGAAAATATGTAACCGAATCATTATACAAAATTGACATTGTAGCATTGATGCTAAATAAATCTTTAACAAACAAACAAAGGCAGCACGTTGATATTTTGTCTTTTTTTCGACTTTTTATAGGTTTTTTACGTAATAACCCTGCTGATCAAAGTTTTCAAGACCTAAAGCCAAACCTGAATATCAATGACACTTTTTCAACCTAGAATAATGGTTTCAACGACGAGTGGGTGATTCTGTATGTGTCTACCGATATACAGGGTGTTCATTTGAAAACTTCCCACCACGGATTTATCGAAAACTACTGATTAAATGAAAAATTCGCCAAGATACGACCAAAGATTTGTCAATGGGGACAACTTTTTAACTAAAAACTACTTCACCTCCTTTCACCCTCTGCCCTTCAGGGTAAAAAAAATTAAATGACGAGGGGTATCGAGCAATAGGTTTTTTGAAAGATCTTTCGAAGTCCTGTATTTTGAAGTTTGATTTTTTAAAATCGGTCGATTCGTTTTCAAGAAAATTAGGCAAATCTTTAGCTATCTTAATTTGTTCAAATAGAAAACAAAACAGACGAAAATATCACTTAATTTTTCAATATTGCCCGTTATTGATTTCAAATGGCCCCATAAAAAAGTCTAATGGCGTCCAATCAGACGATCTAGCAGGCCATTCTATAGGCGTTCTTCGCCATATCCATTTATCTGGAAACTGGTCTAGCTATCGCCGAAACGGAAGAATAGAGTGAGGAGGAGCTCAGCCTCATCAATGCAGGATTTCCATCCTCTTCGATTTGGTTTTTAATTGTTTCAGTGATAAGCGGATTGATGGTATTTTCCAACATATCCAAATAAATGTCTCCATTCAAATTTTCATGGCCCAATCACTTTGTCTCATAAAATGCCTGCCCATACATACATTTTGGTTTACTGCGTATACCCTTCTACAGAAGCATGAGGATAACAAATCCATTTAGATAAA